AATTCATCCAAATCTCTTCCTGCAGTTACTGAGTTCACTGTGTTCAGTTTTATAATTTAATATTAAATATCTATAAAATATGTCACTGAATCAGTTTATTAAATGATAGAAAATGTCTGTTAAGGAGAAAAGGTTGGGAACTGCTGATCTAACCAAAGATATTCAGTTTATTCTCTTAATATCAGAAGACAAAGAAACTGGAATGAGGAAATATTTGAATTTTAGTGAAACAGTCATTCATTTTCTTTTTCATGATGAAACTGTACAAAATAATTTTTTATGCCACATTTTGATCCCAAAAAGCAAATATATTAGCACCAGTCCGACTAAACTGATACAATTGCAGATTAATATAACTTTAAAAGTGATTTGAACTGAATATCAAACTGAAAATATTTAATAAATATTTTATAATGTTCTGTAAGTTCTGTTTTTCATGTTTCATGTCAAAATGTCAAATATTGGAATAATAAAACATTAGCTATGTAAAAAACTACAAAACAACAACTGGCTCAAGGATACTGTAGTTCTAACACTACAGCCATCTGCTGCTCACTGCTGGGGTTTGCTGGAACCAGACTCCATTCAATAAGACAAATTAATATTTATTTATTTAAGATAGCAGCTAACAATGTCAGGCTAAGTCATCAAACTAGTATTTTTTTCCAATCATTCAGATGTGATCAATAATTCGGCTTCAGTATAAAAGTGCCAATCGACACACAGCTGGACACCACAGCTGCCCCGACCCCAAAGACTGCATCACAATAAGTTGTCAGAAACAATAAAAGTTTATTTTTAACTAAATGTAAAGCCGCTTTTTTTAAACTATTGTATGCCGAATGTAAAACTACACCCTAACAACCAACAATATAACTTAAACACTTGTACATTTATACATAAACTTAAAAATAAACAAGCAAAATGTTAAATATTCAAATAATTCAAACGGAGTCTGGCGCGTAGTTTCCACTGTGCAGGTACGATGTTACCCCGGATGGCCTGCTCCGTTAACCCGGTACTGAACCTTCAGCATCACATTTAGCTCCATCTTTATTAAAAAGGAGAAAACAGAACCAGAACCAGAGAACCGGACTCCCTCTGGACCCGAGCACTGGGCGTCGACTGGTGATGGCGACCCGCTGCCACGGCCGGGACTCGAACCTGCAAACCCCCCCAGCAGCAGCTCACCCACCTGAGTGTTTGCTGATCTTGATCTCGGACTGGAGGAGCGTCTGCAGCATCCTCCGCTGCCGGTGGATCTCCCGCTTGGACAGCAGGATCTCCTCCTCGTAGCCCGCGATGGTTTTCTTCACCGCCTCGAAGATTTCCTCCGCGGCCGCCGTCAGCCGCTCGTTCACCAGCGCGCGGAGCCGCTGCACGGCGGACATGATGCGGGCCGAGCCCCGGCGGGGTTCACCGGCACCGAGCTGGACGATACTCGGGGTTTGTGTTGTCGGGGGAAACGGGTCGACACATGCGGCGTTTGGCGGGTGTGAAGTTGCGTGCGCCCAACTGGCGGGAGGCGTTTCCGGTCAGGTTTTTAGTCTTTTTCAAAATAAAAGCTTGTTTTCGTTTGTTAGGCCAGGGGCGTGTTCAGACTGGTTCTGACTGGGGGGGGGCATGACTTTATTAAAGTTTGGGGGGTCTAAAATATGTCTAATATGAATTATTAACTTTTTAACTCTTTTTTTGGCACAATACCTTCACACATCATGTTTCCCATCTGAACCATGTTCCACTTTATAGTATAAAGTGTATTTTCTTAAATATTTTATTCTATTTTATCATATTTAATTGTATTTTTATGCTTTTCTACTCTTTGCACTACATTTTCCCTTTTCTTATCTGTTGCCATTTACTTCTATGTTCCTATATCTTTATATTTGTCTTTATGCGTAAACATGAGCGACTGTTGATTTATGATGTATCGTTGACTTCAGAAAATATACATAAAAAGTATACACCGTTATAAATGTAGTCGTCAGCTTCAGTCAGAAATGCTCATTTATTAATTAAAAAATTTATAAATTGATGAAGAGCTTTTTTAAGGATATTAAAACAGGGAAGTTCAACTTTATTTATATATTTCATTAATATATATTGTTCTTATCTCGTCTTTATTTTAATATATTTTTATTTGCGTGTTTTGATTTTTATGTTAATTTCTATTTGTTGAATTTTACTAAAAAATCTACAATATTTTACTTAATGTTAACACATCAGTGTCTATTTTCCTCTGTAAGTATAATTTCTTTATTTATTGTGCTACCATTACTACTCTTTATTTCTTATAATACTTTGCTTTTTCTTCTGATCTAATTTATTTATTGTAAAATTACAATAAAGAACCTTTAAACTGTCAAACTGTCCCAAAACCAACAGGATAATTATATTTATGACTCATATTTTGTGCAATTAAGAAAACTAAATAAAAACACTGA